GAGAATAAATTAAGGGGAAGCAAATAGGAATGAAGGAAGTAGTAAGAAACATACAGTGTTATATCCGTTTCACTTATTGCTTTTACTAAAAAACAAAGAAGCACTACCATTCCTATGACGCGAAATCAAATACAAAGTGCGGGTACCAGTGAAAACTTATTCACTTCGAAATGCGATGACTCTAGCTAAAAGATGCACTCATTTAAATATTGCTTTGTACACCAACTTGATTATTTACTTTTAAAAACTCACATACATGAAGCTGTGACAATATTTCATGCTGAACATAGTTCGTGCTAATCTAATGCAAAAAATATTATACCGGATAAAGTCACACTGAAAATATACGACAAGTTATTATATTGAAAATAAAACGAAGATTATTTTGAACAGTTATCACAAAGAATTAAGAAAAAACGTGATCTTGCTTGTTTATCGCATCTGGTCAGAATGGTTTTTACATAGTAAGTGAAATCTGGTGCTATAAAAAATTCACTACTGAACGCACTGCCTACTTACCTCGACTTATCAAAAAATATTTACAAATCCCTAGTTATTGAATACTAACTAATATCATATACCTTAATTCCTTCTTAGTGCCAGCTGAATGCTAATCATCTATCTAGTTGCAATGTGACCACTAGTTTAAATGATTAGATATCGCCTGTATCATATCGAGATGTAAGGCAGTTGGAGATAGTTAACGAAATATTGTGGACCTAGATCACGTGTAATCCGGGACTAATCGACCGATAAAACTCGATCATCACTAGGAAGGACTCGATATACAAGGCATCAGACACTGATCAGCAATTAACTAGTTGTAAACATCTCAGTCTTACAGATCAATCAGCATCTTAATATCTTGCACCTGCCAAAAACCATGAGTTCCCTTAAGTTTAAATTCACAACCTATTAACAATTGAAAAATAGTATGAATCCCAAGTTCATAGTTTTCTGTCGACTTCCTTTAAAACACCATACGTTTATTTTCATTAATTTACATACCATACAGGTTTGTCATAATAAGGAACCAAAATAGGGAGGTAATGTTGAGAAATCAAGAGGGAAGAGAAGTATGAACAAAACATAAATAAATGAAAACAATATGAGCTCAGTAAGAAAAATTCAATCAAGAAGTTTTTAGTTGTGTCATTTCGATAATAGAAAACTACAATAGGATTATCACGAGCTTCTATTCTGAGTCATGTTTAATAAACAAAATACCTGTTGCCAACAAAAAAAAGATGATTGTATACAACTAAGCTACCACGATTGATATGGAAATACATTATCCAAACTCTACAATCATCCATTTAAATTGTTTCATAGTCTCCAACCAAGAATGATAGTTCAAGACTCGAATAGTTGGTGTTATTTTAGATAGATTAATTTAAATTTTATCTTTTGTTTATACACGTTAAAATGATTTTATGGATTTTCCGAAAGCACTGAAACTTAAGACGGTAACTTCGAGAGAGATGTTACATAATACAAACGTGAAACTCTAAGAACGTTTTCTGACACATTTTAAAACAACCATTACATCTAAATTTCGGCTCTTCTGATAATTGACTGATAACTATACTACAAGCGGTGACCACAGTACCAGCAACTTGAGGCTCACTACCGTTTTGGTTCTAATCACTCACCAAAATTGTAGATGAATAAAAGTTATCTGATATGTTTGGCTATGTTTAATTTTTTCAGTGAAATCCATCAGACTTAATGCGCGAATGGTTGTAAAATATTTCAGCTAACTAATAATAAAATTCCCGAAAATCGCATTGTTTCATTATATAATCTTTGTGTGTTAATCCCGATGGTGTACAGTAAGTGCATCATAGTTAGATTTTCAAAAATGAAATAATCGTGGGACTCTTTAACTAATTTTTATATTTAAATCAACTTATTCACCGTGTACTTGGGTATGAGTCACACTGTAAGTGCGAAAGCTAACAATATTACCCAGTCGCCCAAACCGAAGTAAATGAAGCGGAGTTCGAAAGTTAAACGACCTAACCACTAGCTCACTACTCCATATGGTATGTTAATGGAGCTTTTCATAACCTCCGCTTGTTGATTTGACAAACAACTGATATGACTGTATTAAATGAATTGAATTGTATGAGGATGAAAATTGCTTACCAACATTTTTATTTATGTGAATCCGATTAGTGATTTTTTTCAGGAAACTTTTATTACGTTAGAAAAAATCTATCATTAACCAATAGTCGATCTACGCTTCACACAGTTATTAATAAAACGTTAAAAAAGTCACTAAAGCATCGATGACTAACCTGGCTATCAAGACTACTAGATGCCGCTAATGTACCTGTAGAATTTATGTCAACTGAAATCACACCCAGTCTGTGTCCCTCAAAGTGGTGAAGACATTTCAGCTGATTATTAGTCCTAAAAGAGGGAGAAAACAGGTAAATATATAAGTGATCAGAAATTGAATTAACAAAAGAGAGTACTCAGATGCTAGCTCAAATGGATGATTAAGGAGGAGTTTCGTTATCTAGTCTGATGGGTTTGGTCATGGGGTATTTATTGGTCTTCTGAACAACATCAGTACAAACTTCAGGTACAAAAGAACTGGTATGTAGTCGTTCATTGTTTCGAATACTTCAGTGTAAGAGTTTGATGAATATTAATAGTGACACTCACTTTGATTTCAATCAAACAACTGAATAAACTTTTACATACGTTGTATTGAGATACCTTGTAAATAGCAATAAAAACCCAGAGTATATTAGGCTATCGAGTTTAGTTACTTTTATATATTCAAAATTAGCAAAATTAACACAAATCGAAATCCTATAATGTAGATATCTACATAATTTAACCACAGATAAGTAATACTAAATTTTACGGTAGTTGTCACACAGAACATATCGAAGAAACCGATTATGTTGTTTGAAGTATGAAACATCTGATCTTAACTTTTCAATACTAATATACGTACCTCGCATTTAGCTTTTTGTAAACTAACATTATTATTTTTCTTTCCAAAATGTGAGTGTTCTTGTTTATACATACATGTATGAGAATGCTAAGTTATATTATTTTAGACAGTATTTGATACCTCTAATGAAAATACTCATTTAATTTTATACCATTTTAACCTCATATGATTTTAAAACTTTTAGAGGAACACTATATTTTCTGACTTCTCATAAAGGTGACTTGTAACATTGTAGTCAGAATATATTAGGTCTGGTTACATGACTTAATTGAAGTGGTTCCAGGGTGTCTATATTTCAGAATGCTGTAGCTAATCAGTTTAGAAAAAATAATGGGAACTTTTTAGAAACGTTGCGAGATATCCGTTTGCTGACTAAAGGACGAGTGTACTGCGCGGTAGTTCGCTCCGTCTTACTTTATGGCTGTGAAACATGGCCAGTGAGAGTAGAAGATATTCGTCGGTCATTGGTTTTCGATCATAGGTGTCTTCGAAGTATTGCTCGTATATCGTGGGACAATCGAGTAAATAATGATGTTGTTAAGAAAAGAGTACTAGGCAAGGATAGCAGATCAATCGACGAAGAAGTGAAACTCCATCAGTTGAGGTGGTTGGGACATGTGTAACGAATGTCCAACCACCGACTGCCTCGAAGAGCTATATTTTGCGATGTAGGAATAGTTTGGATGAAAGCTAGGAGCGGCCAGACCAAAACATGGCAGAAATCCATGAAGTCATTGACAAGTGGACTTAGCCATGTCGGTAGCTGTCGACTACCTGGTTGGGGTCCGCGAGATGATAATAATCGATGGTTAGATACCCTGAATGACATGGCTCAAAATCGTTCGCAATGGCGCCGGTGCATTTATTCTCTGTGTTCTCTCAAATCCTAATCTTCTGGATTCTTCAACACCTCTAGTTTTGACTTTCTAAACTTTTCTCACTGAATCATATTTCCTGAACATCTCATCCTAACCTGTCCGATTACTTCTAATACCTTTACTACCTCTTCTACTATTGGATTTGAATTGACAATGACATCTCTGTGCTGATGTGGTATGGCGACATGAACTGATGTACTTACGTCCGAAGTTCTACGTTGCATCTGACTGACTGACTGACTGAGAAACGTTGACCACCATACTTATGATAGCCACAACAAACTGTTTAAAGTGTAAAATATCCCTGCTCCGAAAAATCCCATAAGGTGTCGAATAAAGTAAATATAGAATACACTGTGTGACATTACACGTGAAGCGCTTCCAAGAGTGTAGTTGGGATTGTTATAGAATTTGCTTTACAAGGATTACAAAACTACCTTTATGAATACGTTGGATAGAATATCAATGATAGCCACAATAACGAACTATCATTTGTAACTAACATATTTAGTCAATAAGTTACAATGTATAACATGACTCCAAAAGGTAACCGATTATATCGGAATAGGCCCTTATGTGTGTTTATAGTAAGCATATCTTTATTTTCAACAGCGACAGGAATCTGTAAATAAGCTTCCGATAAATCCAGTTTCAATCCAGTATCAACCTACTACTGCTTTCGGACAAGCTGACGTTTTGTCTAGGTTCATTGGTTCTCATGTGAATCAGGAAGAAGATATTAAAGAAGCTACAAGAAATGAAAAAATACTACAAGAAGTTAAGGGTTATCTCCTCTCAAAGTGGCCGAATCGTCGTCTACAAGGAGAACTGCAACAATGTTTCCGCCGGCGCGATTCACTCACTATTATCGATTCATGCATTATGTTTGGTGACCGAATTATTATTCCAGAATTATTGGGACATAAAACCCTCAAGCAATTTCACAGTAGTCACCCTGGAATAAACAAGATGAAATCATTGGCGCGCAGCTACGCCTACTGGCCCTCGATGGATAAAGATATAGAAACCAAATGCCGAAACTGCCTTTCATGCTTACAAGCCGCAAAAAACCCTTCGAAATGTGAGCCCCAACAATGGCAGAAACCTACTGGACCTTGGGAGAGAATTCATGAAGATTTCGCTGGCCCAATCCAAGGTAAAATGTTTCTAATTATTGTAGATGCATATACGAAATGGCCAGAAATATACAGCATGCCGAACTGTACAGCCTCGGAAACTATGCAGAAGCTGTCTACATTATTTAGTTTCGGAGTGCCAGAAACCTCGATAACTGATAATGGATCACAATTTTTTGCGGACTCATTCAAGCGATTCTGCAGTTCAAACGACATAACGCATTTACGGTCCCCACCTTACCATCCTCAATCCAATGGACAAGCAGAACGCTTCGTTGACACCTTCAAAAGAGCTTTACGAGGGGCCAACTAGCCAAGTAATCACTAGATTTTTAATGACCTACAGAAGCACTCCAAACCATACGGTCCTAGACGGGAAGTCTCCAGCTGAAGCAATGTTTGGAAGATGTATTCGGACTATTTTTAACGCGATGTTGACCCCTAAAAGAGTGAATAGGTACAGACCAAATCAAAATATGCGCAGCTTTAACGTTGGCGATAAAGTGTTTCTAAAATCATATCTAGGGAAAAATCGATGGGAACCAGGAACCGTTGTACAAAGACTAGGAAGAGTTTTGTATCGGATAACAGGAGCTTACGGAAGCTGTGTCAGACACACGAACCAACGGCGAAAGGACAAATGAATGATACGCTCGGGTGATAATCGCGTAAATCTACCGCTGAAGTTGATCACAGAACCGACAACTACACATTTGTCGCGAAATACCGAAGAAAAGGGAAGGTCGGAGACACTAACTAGAAAAACTACAAACAGAATGGAACGCCGCCGCAACCCAGTCGTAAGACTACAAGTGGACCCTAGAAAAAAATCTTATTCCGGGGAGGTGTTGGGATAGCCATCGAGAAGCTACCCACGCACATAGTCGATTGACGAACTTATCGATTAAATGTTTACATATTTCGAGGACAATATCGATTATATATATAATTGTATAAATACGTATGTTTTATTGTATATTTTTGATTCCGTTATTAAGTGCTCTCCAACGTCTTTCGTTTTCTTATTTTTGAACGGTGGGAGTCTAACGTTCGGTGTTGTCATTTGTATAGTGGTTTGGCGTTACTCTAGTAGAGAACCTAATCAGTTATCATATCATATTAATACAGAGTTATGTACTTAACGCTATTTGTGTAGAGGTTAACCATAATGCTACTTAGCTGGCCAACCTGCAGTAGGAGGAGTAGAGTATGGACTGGTTGAAATCCGAGTATTTTAACCAATAAATAACATTTTTATTTAAACACAAACATTGGTACGAAGAGGCAGCTGCATGTTTATGAGCCATACAAATTAATGAATTTTTGAGTGGGGTGGGAAACTGTCCGGATACCAAAAACCGAAGCAGAGGGAATTTTAGGGGACCACACCCCCAGCCGTTGACTTAAAAGTCTAGTCCAAAGAACAGAGCCTAAACCTTGGGGGATGCAGTCCAATGAGATCCGGTGATCAACAAGTTTATGTGCCATCCGTTCCGTCAGAATGATAAAACTCACGTGTGCCATTGGTTTGGAATAAGGGTTTTTCAACTCCCTTAGGTAGATGTTTCATACCCACCAACCCGGTTTAAACACCAGACACTCGCTTTCGTACTATTAATTTCGTGAAAAACATCCCTGCTGAGAGGAATTAAATATGACTTCCCTAACAAGGGTTATATACACATAGTTACATGAGAGCATATCGAGAAAGTGAATTCACCTCACCCTCCGCCGTTCTAAGGCCTTTGGGGGGGTGAATGACTACTTAATTTGTGATTTATACTTACATAATGCAATAACCATTAGTGCTGGAATATAGACGTTAGACTTGAGCGAACAATATACTTACCACTCCCAGGCGATAAGGCCATTATCTAACGAACCTGTGATAATGAACTGTTTATTTTTGCTGCGATTTTGACCCCACGTGCAACACCATATCCCTTCTTTATGCGCTAATGTAAAATATGGAGAATATATGTGGTAGGCAATATACGTGTGTACAAGGATAATCGTAATTAAAAAGATGTACACTAACATAAGATTATGACAGCAGCTTGTGTTTCATTTACTGAGGAACAGTATGTGTCAGCTGTTTTAAACAAATGCAACTTACAAAGTCAGTAACTGACAGACTTACCAAGTACTAGTCATTTTAGTGAACTATGACGTAAACTAATTACCGAAGTATAGAAATACTATCCCAATAAGTGTGACAAGTGCACATTATCTTTAGTTTTGTCGTATGCATTCATTTCAAGATATTACTTCTGTTGACTGACTTTCGCACAATTCCTTCTAAAGACAGTGACAAGAAACATCATTTTACACATTTTGGGTAACAATGCAAGCTGGTTTGAGATCAACTGCTCTACCTTCAAATACAAATTTCGCTTTACGACTATTCTGTATCAGTTTTTAGTTTGAGCAAAAGTGAGTTAAACAGAAATTTGCTGATCATGTCAATTATCTTGAGTCTCATTAGCCCTGGTGGATCAGTTGCTAACGAAACTCCAGCACAGATAAGGGAAGATACATTAGCTTTTGCCACATTGCGCCACTTATGGAATAAGTGAAATATATGTCTATTAAAGCAAGTATACGCTGAACAATAGTGTCCTGTTGTGCTTTACAGATAAGAAATACAGGTTTTGAAATTAGAAGACTTACAAACGTCGCTAGTGTTTGGTCACAGATGAGTCAGTCAGTTACAACGTAGAAATCCGTACGTACGTACATCAGTTCAAATTACCATACCACATTAGCACAGAGACACATTTGTCAATTAAACTCCCAGTCGTAGAAGCATTAGCAGTAACCGGAGAGATTAGAGTTCGAAGATATTAGAATGAAATAAGCTTAAGGAGAAAGATAAAGGTGATAAAGAATTAAGAAGATTGGGATTTAACAGCACACAAGAAATGGATGCACCTGTGCTACTGCAAACGGTTTTGAGCCAAGTCATTCAAGGTCTCTAACCAGTGGTGACTTTCGTCTCGCGGACCGCAACCAGGTAGCCTACATCTACCAACATGATTCAGTCCATTTGTCAGTGACTTCATGGATTAGTGCCATGTTTTGGTTAGGCCGCCCCTAGCTTTCTTCCAACCTACTCCTACACCACAAAGCATAGCTCGTCGAGGCAGTCGGTGGTTGGGCAAACGTAACACATGTCCAAACCACCTCAACTGATGAAGTTTCAACACTTCATCTGTTGATCTGCCATCCTTACCTAGCACTCGTTTCCTAACGATAGCATTGCTTACTCGGTTGTCCCATGGTATACGAGCAATGCTCCGGAGACACCTATGATGGAATACTAGTAACCTACGAATGTCTGCTACTCTCACTGGCCATGTTTCGCATACATATAATAGGACAGAGCGAACTGCTGCGCAGTACACTCGTCCTTTAGTCAGCAAACGGATATCTCGCCTACGCCATAAGTGACGCAGGTTGGCAAAAGCCAATCGAGTCTTCTGTATCCGTGCTGAGATTTAGTCAGTCATCAGGCCACCAGCACTGATGAGACTCCCGAGATAAATGGAGCGGTCAACACGCTCAACTGCTTCACTCCCTATCACTAGTTCAGGTGCCGATATGCAACCCAATCCCAAAGCAACATTTTACATTTCCATGGGGAGAATCTCATCCCAAACATGCTTGCATTGTTGCCGAGGGTATTCAGAAGACTCTGCATTTTGTCAGCGACTTCACGATGTCATCGGCATATTCTAGGTCAACAAGCAAGTTTCCTAGTAGGTTCACCCCTGAAAAGCAAAACGATGTAAGTGACGTATCGACAAGCATTTCAGTGACGAAGTTAAATACGAATGTAGGAAGAGGGCAGCCCTAATAAACTACTACCGCAGGTAATCATTTCCGGTGACAACTTACCATAAGCTCTCACTCGACCAGTGGTGTTCGAATAGAGCCCGTGTTAGGTTAATGTACTTCTCTGGAACATCTTTCCATGAGAGACACTGCCACATAATCTTACGACAGACGGGGTTAAATGCTGCTTTGAGGTTCGGGAGGACAACTATTGTCGGACGCCTAAACGTGTCTATGTTACAGGACCTAATGAAGAGTGAACATCTGGTCCATACAGCCAAGTCCAGGTCTGAAACCAGAATGGTTTTCTATAGTCTGCTCTTCACAAGCCCCAGTTAGACGTCTAAGTATTATGGACACTAACATTTTAGACATTATATTAGGCAGACTGATTCCTCTGTGATTGTCAAAAGAGAACTTTTGTCCTTTCTTATAAATTGGGACAATCAGTGATTGAGATCAGACAGAAGGGATTACGTCCGGTTCCTAAATTCTAATTAAGATCTCAGTCAGTCTAGCTGCTAAAACCGGACCACCATCCTTAAAAATTTCAGCATTTAACTTATCAGGGCCCGCTGCTCTCCCTCGTTTTAGATTTCCTGTAGCCGTTTCAAATTCATAAAGATTCGGAGGACTTACATCGACTTGCCACCAAGCTAACCCCGTTCTTCATCGTACTCAGCGCCCGACGGGATGAGTTTCCGAGCACCTGCCAGTACGTTAGATGCTACTGTAATCAACCGCTTCTTCCTAACCTGTTGGTTTACCTAACTAGCATATAACATTGCCGTTTCTACAGGTTTTTGAGTATCATTCCGAGCTGCCTCGGAGTGGGCATCGCTGCCTAACTGTTTTTCTAGTTGCTGCTGAAATTTATTCTTAGCTGTGATATTATTAAGTAGGACCCTAACAGGTTTCCCTGCAGTGTCTTTCCATGTCCAGTAAGTCGCAAAAAAATACGCGCTTGTACTAGAGCATGGTCTGAATCTAACCAAATGCTCCGGAATGAGCAAATAGTAAGAAGTTTAAGTATGCAGTGATAAGGTTAGGAAACAGGTTGAAATAATAGGTCGATGGATGAGGTTGTATACCTTTATCAATTGAGGTATATGAGATGTTAAGTATGCTTAACTACTGCTTATTCTATCGCATTATACTGCTTAGCATATGAGTGAAGCGGGAAAAAGATGAGTACATGTAACCAATGCATGAATTCATTGACTAATAATCTGAATTATATCAGTAAGTACAAGCTTCTTAGCTAAGGCCACCATAAAAGGCTGTTTTTAGTTAGAAGAGTTGAAAGAAACGGACCAGAATCCGTTTTAACTGTATGTATTTTTGGTTTTTCTCATATTCCCGAACCCAATATTAATCGCTGATTTTGTTTTTCCCCTTATTTACAACTCCTAATGTTTTTGACCATGTGATTTTCCGTTTTCGCAGCAATCAGTCAACTGCAATGTAGAACTTGGTATGTATATATACCAGTCCGAGGTTCCATGCCATATTAGCAACGAGGAACGAAACTGTCAGCTCAAATCCCATAGAAGTAGAGGTGATAGCAGTATTAGCAGTAATGGAAAGGGACAGATATGATTCGAAAAATATAGTCCAGTGAGATATAGTTAAGGAGAGAAAAGAGGTCAAATAGAATAAAGATTATACTTTGAGAGAATACAAAGGATAGACGAATCTGCCCCACTGCAAACGATTTTGAGCCATGTCATCCAAAATCTGTAACTATTGGTTACAACTGTCTAGCAGGCCCCAACCAAGTATTCTACACCCGAACAGTTAGCTGCGCTGCCAAATGAGAAACCTTAGATCAATACGTATTTCAAGTTACGTAATTACTTAGCTGGGTTTATTATTACTCCTATGTGCTGATAAATGAAAAATTTTGGATGGAATTAAAAACAATAGATTAACTGGAGGTTACAGATAAACAGAAACACCGAAACAAACAGATTGGTGAGAATTTTAACGAATCTAAAGAAATTAGCTGTTCTGATTACAACCAAGCCTTCTCTACATATTTGCACTCTATTCCTTTTTAAGCTACAAATGTGCAGGGTTTGTAACTCGAATAAAATGAGGTCTTTTGCTATTACACAGTGTTATTTTAAATGAATGATTTTCAAGAGTTCACTAAGTAATCTCAAAGAAATCATTTGCTTACCTTGTTTTTGTATACACTTGGTTGAGTACTGTAAATAAGTAAAAAATTATTAATTGAAAACAATAATGTACACAATTTAATGTCGAAAAAGAAATTTAATGTCGTCTAACAAAACAAACATGAAGTAAAGGTAATACAAAATGCATGTGCTTCATCTAGTTAGTCAGCAGATGCATGCAACGTAGAAGTTGGGTCCAAGCTGCCAAACTATATGAGCATAGTGAGATAAAATTATGAAGACAAACCCCAAACAAGTAGAAGTCACAAAAATACCAGTAGCAGCAGGAAAAACTAGGTACAGAGAAAAAAATATGATTTCGAGACTTGAAATCCAGGAGAAAACAAAAATTAAGTGCATCCGCGCCATTGTGATCAATTCTTAATTATTCCACCCAATACTTACACCAATAGTTACGAAAATTGTCTGCACCCAAACCACATGGTCTACATTTACCGACGTTGTTCAGTTCGACGGTCAGAAACTTCATAGACTAATAAAATGTTTTGGCTCGACCGCCTATAACCTTCTTTCATCCTCCTTCTACACCATAACACCGTTAATTATGATTAAGCATACGTAATACATGTCCTAAACATCTCAGTTGAAGATTCACTACCTTATTACATGACATGTCGTCGTCTAGTAAGCATCCTACGCTTAATCTCAGTACTGCTGATTCGGTTCCAATGTATGCTGGTAATGCTTCGAGAGGATCTGTGAACCATCTAGTTAACTGAAGCAGTGCTTTCAGATCGAGAAGTCCACTTCGACTTATTTAACATAAGACCTGAGAACGGGACTAAATACGGTGTAAGACCAAGACTGTCATCCGATATGATTGGTAACATGAAAGGGTAATTATAATTATAAGCAATAAAGCGAGTAATCACAGAACTTGTGACCACCAGACTAAGATGAACACGGAGATATCAAAATGCATGGTGCTCAGTCAGAGGTGGGTCCAAAATACACAAAGTTAATAAACAAATATAACGTAACGAAAATTTCTGAACCAGCACTTTCAATGTATTGTTTGCCTACCACTCGTTAACTGAGGTGGATGTGTGTCTTGGGTTTCTTAGAAAAAACTTCACCTTACCGTAACTTGAGAATCGTAGTTACTCAATTTTTGCCTCAGAGCTAATGAGTAACAATCCTATTCACATCACATGGAAGCTGACATGCGTGAGGGTATTACCAGGAAACCAAAATAAAGTCTAGGAGTACCTAAACGCTTTTAGATTCCCAAAAGCTGCTGTAAGTTGAGCGGTTACTCAATATCTTATTGACGAACTACGTATGCAGTACGTTAATCTGAGAATAATGAGGACAAGTCTGAATTTGAAAGAGGAATCTTTAACCACACATACACCACCTTGTAAAGGAGCAAGGATATCAGAATATATAGATCAGCGCTCCACAAGGAGTAGACAGTGGGTTTAAGGAGAACAATAATTTAGCCACAATCATGCGAGTAAACTACAATCAACGCAAGGATTGTTACTCATTAGCTCTGAGGCAAAAATTGAGTAACTACGATTCTCAAGTTACGGTAAGGTGAAGTTTTTTCTAAGAAACCCAAGACACACATCCACCTCAGTTAACGAGTGGTAGGCAAACAATACATTGAAAGTGCTGGTTCAGAAATTTTCGTTACGTTATATTTGTTTATTAACTTTGTGTATTTTGGACCCACCTCTGACTGAGCACCATGCATTTTGATATCTCCGTGTTCATCTTAGTCTGGTGGTCACAAGTTCTGTGATTACTCGCTTTATTGCTTATAATTATAATTACCCTTTCATGTTACCAATCATATCGGATGACAGTCTTGGTCTTACACCGTATTTAGTCCCGTTCTCAGGTCTTATGTTAAATAAGTCGAAGTGGACTTCTCGATCTGAAAGCACTGCTTCAGTTAACTAGATGGTTCACAGATCCTCTCGAAGCATTACCAGCATACATTGGAACCGAATCAGCAGTACTGAGATTAAGCGTAGGATGCTTACTAGACGACGACATGTCATGTAATAAGGTAGTGAATCTTCAACTGAGATGTTTAGGACATGTATTACGTATGCTTAATCATAATTAACGGTGTTATGGTGTAGAAGGAGGATGAAAGAAGGTTATAGGCGGTCGAGCCAAAACATTTTATTAGTCTATGAAGTTTCTGACCGTCGAACTGAACAACGTCGGTAAATGTAGACCATGTGGTTTGGGTGCAGACAATTTTCGTAACTATTGGTGTAAGTATTGGGTGGAATAATTAAGAATTGATCACAATGGCGCGGATGCACTTAATTTTTGTTTTCTCCTGGATTTCAAGTCTCGAAATCATATTTTTTTCTCTGTACCTAGTTTTTCCTGCTGCTACTGGTATTTTTGTGACTTCTACTTGTTTGGGGTTTGTCTTCATAATTTTATCTCACTATGCTCATATAGTTTGGCAGCTTGGACCCAACTTCTACGTTGCATGCATCTGCTGACTAACTAGATGAAGCACATGCATTTTGTATTACCTTTACTTCATGTTTGTTTTGTTAGACGACATTAAATTTCTTTTTCGACATTAAATTGTGTACATTATTGTTTTCAATTAATAATTTTTTACTTATTTACAGTACTCAACCAAGTGTATACAAAAACAAGGTAAGCAAATGATTTCTTTGAGATTACTTAGTGAACTCTTGAAAATCATTCATTTAAAATAACACTGTGTAATAGCAAAAGACCTCATTTTATTCGAGTTACAAACCCTGCACATTTGTAGCTTAAAAAGGAATAGAGTGCAAATATGTAGAGAAGGCTTGGTTGTAATCAGAACAGCTAATTTCTTTAGATTCGTTAAAATTCTCACCAATCTGTTTGTTTCGGTGTTTCTGTTTATCTGTAACCTCCAGTTAATCTATTGTTTTTAATTCCATCCAAAATTTTTCATTTATCAGCACATAGGAGTAATAATAAACCCAGCTAAGTAATTACGTAACCTGAAATACGTATTGATCTAAGGTTTCTCATTTGGCAGCGCAGCTAACTGTTCGGGTGTAGAATACTTGGTTGGGGCCTGCTAGACAGTTGTAACCAATAGTTACAGATTTTGGATGACATGGCTCAAAATCGTTTGCAGTGGGGCAGATTCGTCTATCCTTTGTATTCTCTCAAAGTATAATCTTTATTCTATTTGACCTCTTTTCTCTCCTTAACTATATCTCACTGGACTATATTTTTCGAATCATATCTGTCCCTTTCCATTACTGCTAATACTGCTATCACCTCTACTTCTATGGGATTTGAGCTGACAGTTTCGTTCCTCGTTGCTAATATGGCATGGAACCTCGGACTGGTATATATACATACCAAGTTCTACATTGCAGTTGACTGATTGCTGCGAAAACGGAAAATCACATGGTCAAAAACATTAGGAGTTGTAAATAAGGGGAAAAACAAAATCAGCGATTAATATTGGGTTCGGGAATATGAGAAAAACCAAAAATACATACAGTTAAAACGGATTCTGGTCCGTTTCTTTCAACTCTTCTAACTAAAAACAGCCTTTTATGGTGGCCTTAGCTAAGAAGCTTGTACTTACTGATATAATTCAGATTATTAGTCAATGAATTCATGCATTGGTTACATGTACTCATCTTTTTCCCGCTTCACTCATATGCTAAGCAGTATAATGCGATAGAATAAGCAGTAGTTAAGCATACTTAACATCTCATATACCTCAATTGATAAAGGTATACACCTCATCCATCGACCTATTATTTTCAACACTGTTCCTAACCTTATCACTGCATACTTAAACTTCTTACTATTTGCTCATTCCGGAGCATTTGGTTAGATTCAGGCCATGCTCTAGTACAAGCGCGTATTTTTTTGCGACTTACTGGACATGGAAAGACCCTGCAGGGAAACCTGTTAGGGTCCTACTTAATAATATCACAGCTAAGAATAAATTTCAGCAGGAACTAGAAAAACTAGGTCAGGCAGCGATGCCCACTCCGAGGCAGCTCAGAATGATACTCAAAAACCTGTAGAAACGGCAATGTTATCTGCTCGTTAGGTAAACCAACAGGTTAGGAAGAAGCAGGTGATTACAGTAGCATCTAACGTACTGGCAGGTGCTCGGAAACTCATACCGTCGGGCGCTGAGTACGATGAAGAACGGGGTTATCTTGGTGGCAAGTCGATGTAAGTCCTCCGAATCTTTATGAATTTGAAACGGCTACAGGAAATCTAAAACGAGGGAGAGCAGCGGGCCCTGATAAGTTAAATGCTGAAATTTTTAAGGATGGTGGTCCGGTTTTAGCAGCTAGACTGACTGAGATCTTAATTAGAATTTAGGAACCGGACGTAATCCCTTCTGTCTGATCTCAATCACTGATTGTCCCAATTTATAAGAAAGGACAAAAGTTCTCTTTTGACAATCACAGAGGAATCAGTCTGCCTAATATAATGTCTAAAATGTTAGTGTCCATAATACTTAGACGTCTAACTGGGGCTTGTGAAGAGCAGACTATAGAAAACCATTCTGGTTTCAGACCTGGACTTGGCTGTATGGACCAGATGTTCACTCTTCATTAGGTCCTGTAACATAGACACGTTTAGGCGTCCGACAATAGTTGTCCTCCCGAACCTCAAAGCAGCATTTAACCCCGTCTGTCGTAAGATTATGTGGCAGTGTCTCTCATGGAAAGATGTTCCAGAGAAGTACATTAACCTAACACGGGCTCTATTCGAACACCACTGGTCGAGTGAGAGCTTATGGTAAGTTGTCACCGGAAATGATTACCTGCGGTAGTAGTTTATTAGGGCTGCCCTCTTCCTACATTCGTATTTAACTTCGTCACTGAAATGCTTGTCGATACGTCACTTACATCGTTTTGCTTTTCAGGGGTGAACCTACTAGGAAACTTGCTTGTTGACCTAGAATATGCCGATGACATCGTGAAGTCGCTGACAAAATGCAGAGTCTTCTGAATACCCTCGGCAACAATGCAAGCATGTTTGGGATGAGATTCTCCCCATGGAAATGTAAAATGTTGCTTTGGGATTGGGTTGCATATCGGCACCTGAACTAGTGATAGGGAGTGAAGCAGTTGAGCGTGTTGACCGCTCCATTTATCTCGGGAGTCTCATCAGTGCTGGTGGCCTGATGACTGACTAAATCTCAGCACGGATACAGAAGACTCGATTGGCTTTTGCCAACCTGCGTCACTTATGGCGTAGGCGAGATATCCGTTTGCTGACTAAAGGACGAGTGTACTGCGCAGCCGTTCGCTCTGTCCTATTATATGTATGCGAAACATGGCCAGTGAGAGTAGCAGACATTCGTAGGTTACTAGTATTCCATCATAGGTGTCTCCGGAGCATTGCTCGTATACCATGGGACAACCGAGTAAGCAATGCTATCGTTAGGAAACGAGTGCTAGGTAAGGATGGCAGATCAATAGATGAAGTATTGAAACTTCATCAGTTGAGGTGGTTTGGACATGTGTTACGCTTGCCCAACCACTGTCTGCCTCGACGAGCTATGTTTTGTGGTGTAGGAGTAGGTTGGAAGAAAGCTAGGGGCGGCCAAACCAAAACATGGCACAAATCCATGAAGTCACTGACAAATGGACTGAATCATGTTGGTAGATGTAGGCTACCTGGTTGCGGTCCGCGAGACGAAAGTCACCACTGGTTAGAGACCTTGAATGACTTGGCTCAAAACCGTTTGCAGTAGCACAGGTGCATCCATTTCTTGTGTGCTGTTAAATCCCAATCTTCTTAATTCTTTATCACCTTTATCTTTCTCCTTAAGCTTATTTCATTCTAATATCTTCGAACTCTAATCTCTCCGGTTACTGCTAATGCTTCTACGACTGGGAGTTTAATTGACAAATGTGTCTCTGTGCTAATGTGGTATGGTAATTTGAACTGATGTACGTACGTACGGATTTCTACGTTGTAACTGACTGACTCATCTGTGACCAAACACTAGCGACGTTTGTAAGTCTTCTAATTTCAAAACCTGTATTTCTTATCTGTAAAGCACAACAGGACACTATTGTTCAGCGTATACTTGCTTTAATAGACATATATTTCACTTATTCCATAAGTGGCGCAATGTGGCAAAAGCTAATGTATCTTCCCTTATCTGTGCTGGAGTTTCGTTAGCAACTGATCCACCAGGGCTAATGAGACTCAAGATAATTGACATGATCAGCAAATTTCTGTTTAACTCACTTTTGCTCAAACTAAAAACTGATACAGAATAGTCGTAAAGCGAAATTTGTATTTGAAGGTAGAGCAGTTGATCTCAAACCAGCTTGCATTGTTACCCAAAATGTGTAAAATGATGTTTCTTGTCACTGTCTTTAGAAGGAATTGTGCGAAAGTCAGTCAACAGAAGTAATATCTTGAAATGAATGCATACGACAAAACTAAAGATAATGTGCACTTGTCACACTTATTGGGATAGTATTTCTATACTTCGGTAATTAGTTTACGTCATAGTTCACTAAAATGACTAGTACTTGGTAAGTCTGTCAGTTACTGACTTTGTAAGTTGCATTTGTTTAAAACAGCTGACACATACTGTTCCTCAGTAAATGAAACACAAGCTGCTGTCATAATCTTATGTTAGTGTACATCTTTTTAATTACGATTATCCTTGTACACACGTATATTGCCTACCACATATATTCTCCATATTTTACATTAGCGCATAAAGAAGGGATATGGTGTTGCACGTGGGGTCAAAATCGCAGCAAAAATAAACAGTTCATTATCACAGGTTCGTTAGATAATGGCCTTATCGCCTGGGAGTGGTAAGTATATTGTTCGCTCAAGTCTAACGTCTATATTCCAGCACTAATGGTTATTGCATTATGTAAGTATAAATCACAAATTAAGTAGTCATTCACCCCCCCAAAGGCCTTAGAACGGCGGAGGGTGAGGTGAATTCACTTTCTCGATATGCTCTCATGTAACTATGTGTATATAACCCTTGTTAGGGAAGTCATATTTAATTCCTCTCAGCAGGGATGTTTTTCACGAAATTAATAGTACGAAAGCGAGTGTCTGGTGTTTAAACCGGGTTGGTGGGTATGAAACATCTACCTAAGGGAGTTGAAAAACCCTTATTCCAAACCAATGGCACACGTGAGTTTTATCATTCTGACGGAACGGATGGCACATAAACTTGTTGATCACCGGATCTCATTGGACTGCATCCCCCAAGGTTTAGGCTCTGTTCTTTGGACTAGACTTTTAAGTCAACGGCTGGGGGTGTGGTCCCCTAAAATTCCCTCTGCTTCGGTTTTTGGTATCCGGACAGTTTCCCACCCCACTCAAAAATTCATTAATTTGTATGGCTCATAAACATGCAGCTGCCTCTTTGTACCAATGTTTGTGTTTAAATAAAAATGTTATTTATTGGTTAAATTACTCGGATTTCAACTAGTCCATAATCTACTCCTCCTACTGCAGGTTGGCCAGCTAAGTAGCATTATGGTTAACCTCTACACAATTAGCGTTAAGTACATAACTCTGTTTTAATATGATATGATAACTGATTAGGTTCTCTACTAGAGTAACGCCAAACCACTATACAAATGACAACACCGAACGTTAGACTCCCACCGTTCAAAAATAAGAAACGAAAGACGTTGGAGAGCACTTAATAACGGACTCAAAAATATACAATAAAACATACGTATTTATACAATTATATATATAATCGATATTGTCCTCGAAATATGTAAACATTTAATCGATAAGTTCGTCAATCGACTATGTGCGTGGGTAGCTTCTCGATGGCTATCCCAACACCTCCCCGGAATAAGATTTTTTTCTAGGGTCCACTTGTAGTCTTACGACTGGGGTTGGGTTTTTTTCCATTCTGTTTGTAGTTTTTCTAGTTAGTGTCTCCGACCTTCCCTTTTCTTCGGTATTTCGCGACAAATGTGTAGTTGTCGGTTCTGTGATCAACTCCAGTGGTAGATTTACGCGATTGTCACCCGAGCGTATCATTCTTTTTTCCTTTCGCAGTTGGTTCGTGTGTCTGACACAGCTTCCGAAAGCTCCTGTTATCCGATACAAAACTCTTCCTAGTCTTTGTACAACGGTTCCTGGTTCCCATCTATTTTTCCCCAGATATGATTTTAGAAACACTTTACCGCCAACGTTAAAGCTGCGCATATTTTGATTTGGTCTGTACCTATTCACTCTTTTAGGGGTCAACATCGCGTTAAAAATAGTCCGAATACATCTTCCAAACATTGCTTCAGCTGGAGACTTCCCGTCTAGGACCGTATGGTTTGGAGTGCTTCTGTAGGTCATTAAAAATCTAGTGATTACTTGGCTAGTTGGCCCCTCGTAAAGCTCTTTTGAAGGTGTCAACGAAGCGTTCTGCTTGTCCATTGGATTGAGGATGGTAAGGTGGGGACCGTAAATGCGTTATGTCGTTTGAACTGCAGAATCGCTTGAATGAGTCCGCAAAAAATTGTGATCCATTATCAGTTAACAAGGTTTCTGGCACTCCGAAACAACTAAATAAGGTAGACAGCTTCTGAATAGTTTCCGATGCTGTACAGTTCTGCATGCTGTATATTTCTGGCCATTTTGTACATGCATCTACAATAATTAGAAACATTTTACCTCCGATTGGGCCAGTGAAATCTGAATGAATTCTCTCCCAAGGTCCAGTAGGTTTCTGCCATTGTTGGGGCTCACATTTCGAAGGGTTTTTTGCGGCTTGTAAGCATGAAAGGCAGTTTCGGCATTTGGTTTCTATATCTTTATTCATTGAGGGCCAGTAAGCGTAGCTGCGCGCCAATGATATCATCTCGTTTATTCCAGGGTGATCACTGTGAAATCGCTTGAGGGTTTTATGTCGCAATAATTCTGGAATAATGATTCGGTCACCAAACATAATGCATGAATCGATAATAGTGAGTGAATCGCGCCGGCGGAAATATTGTTGCAGTTCTCCTTGTAGACGACGATGCAGCCATTTTGAGAGGAGATAACCCTTAACTTCTTGTAGTATTTTGTCATTTCTTGTAGCTTCTTTAATATCTTCTTCCTGATTCACATGAGAACCAATGAACCTAGACAAAACGTCAGCTTGTCCGAAAGCAGTAGTAGGTTGATACTGGATTGAAACTGGATTTATCGGAAGCTTATTTACAGATTCCTGTCGCTGTTGAAAATAAAGATATGCTTACTATAAACACACATAAGGGCCTATTCCGATATAATCGGTTACCTTTTGGAGTCATGTTATACATTGTAACTTATTGACTAAATATGTTAGTTACAAATGATAGTTCGTTATTGTGGCTATCATTGATATTCTATCCAACGTATTCATAAAGGTAGTTTTGTAATCCTTGTAAAGCAAATTCTATAACAATCCCAACTACACTCTTGGAAGCGCTTCACGTGTAATGTCACACAGTGTATTCTATATTTACTTTATTCGACACCTTATGGGATTTTTCGGAGCAGGGATATTTTACACTTTAAACAGTTTGTTGTGGCTATCATAAGTATGGTGGTCAACGTTTCTCAGTCAGTCAGTCAGTCAGATGCAACGTAGAACTTCGGACGTAAGTACATCAGTTCATGTCGCCATACCACATCAGCACAGAGATGTCATTGTCAATTCAAATCCAATAGTAGAAGAGGTAGTAAAGGTATTAGAAGTAATCGGACAGGTTAGGATGAGATGTTCAGGAAATATGATTCAGTGAGAAAAGTTTAGAAAGTCAAAACTAGAGGTGTTGAAGAATCCAGAAGATTAGGATTTGAGAGAACACAGAGAATAAATGCACCGGCGCCATTGCGAACGATTTTGAGCCATGTCATTCAGGGTATCTAACCATCGATTATTATCATCTCGCGGACCCCAACCAGGTAGTCGACAACTACCGACATGGCTAAGTCCACTTGTCAATGACTTCATGGATTTCTGCCATGTTTTGGTCTGGCCGCTCCTAGCTTTCATTCAACCTATTACTACATCGCAAAATATAGCTCTTCGAGGCAGTCGGTGGTTGGACATTCGTTACACATGTCCCAACCACCTCAACTGATGGAGTTTCACTTCTTCGTCGATTGATCTGCTATCCTTGCCTAGTACTCTTTTCTTAACAATATCATTATTTACTCGATTGTCCCTTGATATACGAGCAATGCTTCGAAGACACCTATGATCGAAAACCAATAACCGACGAATATCTTCTACTCTCACTGGCCATGTTTCACAGCCATAAAGTAAGACGGAGCGAACTACCGCACAGTACACTCGTCCTTTAGTCAGCAAACGGATATCTCGCAACGTTTCTAAAAAGTTCCCATTATTTTTTCTAAACTGATTAGCTACAGCATTCTGAAATATAGACACCCTGGAACCACTTCAATTAAGTCATGTAACCAGACCTAATATATTCTGACTACAATGTTACAAGTCACCTTTATGAGAAGTCAGAAAATATAGTGTTCCTCTAAAAGTTTTAAAATCATATGAGGTTAAAATGGTATAAAATTAAATGAGTATTTTCATTAGAGGTATCAAATACTGTCTAAAATAATATAACTTAGCATTCTCATACATGTATGTATAAACAAGAACACTCACATTTTGGAAAGAAAAATAATAATGTTAGTTTACAAAAAGCTAAATGCGAGGTACGTATATTAGTATTGAAAAGTTAAGATCAGATGTTTCATACTTCAAACAACATAATCGGTTTCTTCGATATGTTCTGTGTGACAACTACCGTAAAATTTAGTATTACTTATCTGTGGTTAAATTATGTAGATATCTACATTATAGGATTTCGATTTGTGTTAATTTTGCTAATTTTGAATATATAAAAGTAACTAAACTCGATAGCCTAATATACTCTGGGTTTTTATTGCTATTTACAAGGTATCTCAATACAACGTATGTAAAAGTTTATTCAGTTGTTTGATTGAAATCAAAGTGAGTGTCACTATTAATATTCATCAAACTCTTACACTGAAGTATTCGAAACAATGAACGACTACATACCAGTTCTTTTGTACCTGAAGTTTGTACTGATGTTGTTCAGAAGACCAATAAATACCCCATGACCAAACCCATCAGACTAGATAACGAAACTCCTCCTTAATCATCCATTTGAGCTAGCATCTGAGTACTCTCTTTTGTTAATTCAATTTCTGATCACTTATATATTTACCTGTTTTCTCCCTCTTTTAGGACTAATAATCAGCTGAAATGTCTTCACCACTTTGAGGGACACAGACTGGGTGTGATTTCAGTTGACATAAATTCTACAGGTACATTAGCGGCATCTAGTAGTCTTGATAGCCAGGTTAGTCATCGATGCTTTAGTGACTTTTTTAACGTTTTATTAATAACTGTGTGAAGCGTAGATCGACTATTGGTTAATGATAGATTTTTTCTAACGTAATAAAAGTTTCCTGAAAAAAATCACTAATCGGATTCACATAAATAAAAATGTTGGTAAGCAATTTTCATCCTCATACAATTCAATTCATTTAATACAGTCATATCAGTTGTTTGTCAAATCAACAAGCGGAGGTTATGAAAAGCTCCATTAACATACCATATGGAGTAGTGAGCTAGTGGTTAGGTCGTTTAACTTTCGAACTCCGCTTCATTTACTTCGGTTTGGGCAACTGGGTAATATTGTTAGCTTTCGCACTTACAGTGTGACTCATACCCAAGTACACGGTGAATAAGTTGATTTAAATATAAAAATTAGTTAAAGAGTCCCGTGATTATTTCATTTTTGAAAATCTAACTATGATGCACTTACTGTACACCATCGGGATTAACACACAAAGATTATATAATGAAACAATGCGATTTTCGGGAATTTTATTATTAGTTAGCTGAAATATTTTACAACCATTCGCGCATTAAGTCTGATGGATTTCACTGAAAAAATTAAACATAGCCAAACATATCAGATAACTTTTATTCATCTACAATTTTGGTGAGTGATTAGAACCAAAACGGTAGTGAGCCTCAAGTTGCTGGTACTGTGGTCACCACTTGTAGTATAGTTATCAGTCAATTATCAGAAGAGCCGAAATTTAGATGTAATGGTTGTTTTAAAATGTGTCAGAAAACGTTCTTAGAGTTTCACGTTTGTATTATGTAACATCTCTCTCGAAGTTACCGTCTTAAGTTTCAGTGCTTTCGGAAAATCCATAAAATCATTTTAACGTGTATAAACAAAAGATAAAATTTAAATTAATCTATCTAAAATAACACCAACTATTCGAGTCTTGAACTATCATTCTTGGTTGGAGACTATGAAACAATTTAAATGGATGATTGTAGAGTTTGGATAATGTATTTCCATATCAATCGTGGTAGCTTAGTTGTATACAATCATCTTTTTTTTTGTTGGCAACAGGTATTTTGTTTATTAAACATGACTCAGAATAGAAGCTCGTGATAATCCTATTGTAGTTTTCTATTATCGAAATGACACAACTAAAAACTTCTTGATTGAATTTTTCTTACTGAGCTCATATTGTTTTCATTTATTTATGTTTTGTTCATACTTCTCTTCCCTCTTGATTTCTCAACATTACCTCCCTATTTTGGTTCCTTATTATGACAAACCTGTATGGTATGTAAATTAATGAAAATAAACGTATGGTGTTTTAAAGGAAGTCGACAGAAAACTATGAACTTGGGATTCATACTATTTTTCAATTGTTAATAGGTTGTGAATTTAAACTTAAGGGAACTCATGGTTTTTGGCAGGTGCAAGATATTAAGATGCTGATTGATCTGTAAGACTGAGATGTTTACAACTAGTTAATTGCTGATCAGTGTCTGATGCCTTGTATATCGAGTCCTTCCTAGTGATGATCGAGTTTTATCGGTCGATTAGTCCCGGATTACACGTGATCTAGGTCCACAATATTTCGTTAACTATCTCCAACTGCCTTACATCTCGATATGATACAGGCGATATCTAATCATTTAAACTAGTGGTCACATTGCAACTAGATAGATGATTAGCATTCAGCTGGCACTAAGAAGGAATTAAGGTATATGATATTAGTTAGTATTCAATAACTAGGGATTTGTAAATATTTTTTGATAAGTCGAGGTAAGTAGGCAGTGCGTTCAGTAGTGAATTTTTTATAGCACCAGATTTCACTTACTATGTAAAAACCATTCTGACCAGATGCGATAAACAAGCAAGATCACGTTTTTTCTTAATTCTTTGTGATAACTGTTCAAAATAATCTTCGTTTTATTTTCAATATAATAACTTGTCGTATATTTTCAGTGTGACTTTATCCGGTATAATATTTTTTGCATTAGATTAGCACGAACTATGTTCAGCATGAAATATTGTCACAGCTTCATGTATGTGAGTTTTTAAAAGTAAATAATCAAGTTGGTGTACAAAGCAATATTTAAATGAGTGCATCTTTTAGCTAGAGTCATCGCATTTCGAAGTGAATAAGTTTTCACTGGTACCCGCACTTTGTATTTGATTTCGCGTCATAGGAATGGTAGTGCTTCTTTGTTTTTTAGTAAAAGCAATAAGTGAAACGGATATAACACTGTATGTTTCTTACTACTTCCTTCATTCCTATTTGCTTCCCCTTACTTTATTCTCTATTTCTTCATTAAAATTTCTACTAGTCTTGTTGTTTTTGTTAATCTCCAAATTGGCACAGATTATTCTTCTCTTACTGTGTCCTGTTTTTTATTGGCGTTTCGTGGTCATATGGTAAATTTTGTATTTTCACAGAGTAGTTATTACTTCCATGTGTTTCTGAAGCTTCAAATATTATTAGCAGAGCCGGGTAGTGGCTAGCAGTGGTACCCAGAATGTGAGTTTCGTCCCATTCTGAGACTCGTAAGATGTATGTACCTGTATCCCAGTCAACCCAACCGTAGCTGCTCCCTTGACGTGGTGGTGGGGCTTGCCTATCGTGATAACCCGACCGAGCTATATTGGATGGAACTTATATTCCTCTGGGTTCTATCATACCAGGCAGGTTGATTGGAAAACGGTAAGACTAAAAACAGTAACTTAAATTTTGATAGAACAGTGAGAAGACGTAATTGATCTGAAAAATGTGATGTATTTGCGCTATACATTTCGAACAATCTGGTCACACATATTTACTTGTCAAGGCATTTTATATGATTTCAAATGGCTATCTGCTAAAGTTTATCAATAGGTGTAGAGATCGGTTAAGACAAAAGCAAGTTTTTGATTCTGCTGAAAAAAAAAGGTTTATATCACTTTACCATTTAGAGGTGAAGCAAATGGTCTAATAATAAGACAGAGACTAAAAGCAGCCATAGAGAAAACATACAACGCTGCTAAACTGATTATCATTGAAAAGACCAAGTCCATGATTTCACATATACCTAAACGTTGCTCTAATGATTACATCACATCCCATTGCATTTATGAATTTACATGTTTATGTGGACACATATACATAGGGAGGAGTAATCGGACTTTGCAATCAAGGGTTATGGGGAACATGTACCTAAGTGGCTTCAAAATCAGTTAGCGTCATCAGATGAGCCGATTAACGTTAGAAATAGAAAACCATGTTCATCGATCGCCAAACACATAATTGAGACAGGGCATAAGATTGACATCAAGACAGCCTTCAAAACATTGTATAGAAATGTTGAAGGACGAATTTTGAGGTTTATGGAGGCCTTGGCTATTAGAAAATTAAAACCCCCTTTATGTGTGCAGAAACAATTTGTCATAACCTTGAATTTACCTTGGTAATCTTTAAGCCTAGGGTAATGTGACAATTTTCCTACCCCTTCTTATTCTTTTCATATTACGTTAATTTTCTCTCTCCTTTATTTACAATTATCACCCTATGTCTATTTGAACTTTTATTTAATTGACCTTTTATTCATCTTCATATAAAATGCCTTGACAAGTAAATATGTGTGACCAGATTGTTCGAAATGTATAGCGCAAATACATCACATTTTTCAGATCAATTACGTCTTCTCACTGTTCTATCAAAATTTATAAAAGGGACTAATTGTTTTAAATTTCTAAAAACAGTAACTTAAGGTTAAAGTTAATGTTCACTCCGGGACTCGAACCCAGTACCTTACGCTAGCCAGTATCCACCTCTGCTAATAATGCTTAAAGCGTATGCTCTATGTAGAGGCAATCAGCACAGAATGCGCATATGCCACAAAGACTGATCAATTGCAGTCCTAAACATCAGTGGGAAGATTCAAACACACAATACAAATGAATGTTGTTTAGTGACGCGACCCCTCATCTAACGTTTAACTGTTTCAAGTCTGACAACTTGGAGTATACAGAATTTTAATTATTGTGTTGTATACATATTTTAATAGATTTTATTATGGGATCTGGAAACAGGAAAATTAACGAAAACATATGATGGTGATCCAGCCGACACATGGACTGTTGCATTCTCTCCTGATTCACGTTTCCTAGCTACTGGAAGTCATACAGGCTGTGTAAACATGATTAATGTTGAAACTGCTCAGAAAGAGGGTTCAATTCAATTAGAAGGAAAATTCGTATATAGTCTTGCGTATGTAAGTATTCTTTTGTATTGTATTGGATTTAATTAGTTGAAGATTAATTTTTCATCTTATAGTTTCTTCGTTTGGATATTTATTAACTGAATCCTATTTTTGCTTAGAGTGCTCCATTTAAATGTTTATCCCAGTTGTAAAACATGATATTCATTATCTAATGTTAAATTATGACTGTCGAAACGATAAACAGACAGTCGTCAATTGCATTATACGGCAGCTAATTTCTTTTGTTTCAGCAAAGTTCAAAATTTATAGATGTCTATCAATTAAATATTTTAAACATCTAGTTGTTTGAAGCTAATTAGTTGAACCCTATCAGCAGAATATAATACAGTAAGACAAGCAAAATAACTTGACAATTATTATTTTGAAACATTCAAGTTTATATTATATAAGTTATTATAATGTTTTTCAGTTGTAATCATATGCTTAAGCTTCATCAATCTTGAAGTGATATTCATTTCTATTGTATTAAGTTTTTGAAATTATTATATAAATATCCTAATTTTCAAATTTCTCAGTAAGCTTAATAAAATTTTTTTACTAAATTCCTCTCTATTGAGGATTGTATGTAATTTTAATAGAGCCTCCTGTTTATGCTTCTGTCTAGTTACTAATCATACATTGGATTTCAGACTAAATGTTCATCTTAAGGTTAGCTATCCTAGCAGCTTAATCAACTCAAGTGTACTTAAAGAAAATGTCAAACTTGTACCACTTTGTTTTTAAAATTATATACCGCCAATTCATAATTTGTTCCCTTTTTAAAATTCAGACAGACAGATATAACACAGAACTTCGTACATAAGTACATCAGTTAAGGTTGTCATACCACGTTAGCACAAAAACGTACCTGTCATTTCAAATCCAAGAGTGATAACGATAGTGGAATTATTAGCAGCAGTGGAGAAGATTAGGGAGCAAAGATATGATTCAAAAAGTATGATTCAGTGAGAAAAATTTAGAAGGAGAAAGATAGAGATTATGAGGAATTCAGAAGGTTAGAATTAAAAAGCACACAAAGAGTGAATGCACCTGCGCCATTGCAAACGATTTTGAGCCATGTCGTTCAAGGTCTCTAACCATTGGTGACTTTCGTCTCACGGACCCCAACCAGATAGCCTACATCTACCAACATGACTCAGTCCACTTGTCACTGACTTCATGGATTTCTGCCATGTGTCTCCTCATTCGCGGATAAATCTTTCGCCTTTTTTAAAATTCAACTCGCTTTCGTGCATTATTTGAGTAAACTTCCGAGTATTTAAACCTTTAGAAATTAACTACTCTGAGTGACTCCTCACATACGCTAAAGCTTAGTGTTTACTTATGTTATCTTTATGTTGTATACTAGATTTCAAAGACTGTTTCAGATGCTACACTTCGAATCTATGCATTATAAAAAAAAAGTTGGTTCATTTTGTTACCTCTACAGAGTACTAGGAGGTGAACAGTTTCATTTAATTTAGATTCGAACCATATAAATCTTCTTAAATTAACATAAATTACAACGTATTTCTTGAATTCATAGATCTCTGACCATTTCTAATTCTTTTTGTTTGCTAGTGTTTTAAAAATATTGATTACCTGAGTAGTGTAGTGACGTAATCTATTTCATTTCATTGTGATATGTTGACTCATCCTAGATTGCCTTGATTGGTTTAACATTTTCATACATAAATATTCATGTTTATTAAGAGTAAAGCCTGATGACAGATCTAATGGAAAACAATATTGTTCGTATATATGTGTTGTTCTAATTTTCACAATGGGAATCTCTAATACTGAATTTTTAACTCTATTTTTGACAATATTTTTCTCTTTTCATAGTTGTTAATAGATTATCTTTTTTTATATTATAAGTAGTATACATAAGCTACCGATATAGCTCTCGATTATTAATTACCAAACTGCATCAACAAGAGTATGTGTTCACTTATTTCAGGGGGGGGGGGGGGTTACATATACACAAGATCTCTGATGGTACTCTAATACTAGCTGCAGGAACTATCAACAGGATGGTCCAGTATATCTTGTGACTTAGGAGACAGGCGAATGTTCAATTTTTAGACGGACATGTGCTACACCTGGCTACGATCAGGTTTGCATTTCACCTTGATGGACGTCTTGTGGTAGCATTCTGCATCTGATGATAAACAAGTTATAGAGTGTTTGATGCGTAAGTTAT